GGGTACTGCCTACCCCTAATCTTCCTCCCGGCAACTTCTAGGATACTATTACTCCCCACCACTGCGAAGGGGATGCTTGCCTTCAATTCCCTGTCTTGTTGCTTGAATTCTTCATCTTCATCACTATCACACTCAGGAAACTCGTACATCTTTAAAGTTTTTCATAAAAAAAAAACTCAAAATTGATTTTGTTTTAAGATTTTTGCTCACCTGTATCCCATTCTCTTTGATATCGTTCAAAATATTTTTCTTAAGGGTTGCGACTTCCAATGACGTCAGGCAATCAGCCTTCGCAATAACAACAACTAAATTTACTTTGCGATGCAGCCTTTTCATCAGATCTAAATCCATTTGGCGTAAACTACAAAAAACAGCAAATAATCCCAAAAATTCCTTATATTATACAAATCCTAAAAAACTTCTGTGCTATCTGAGGAAAAACTTGGACATGGACATACTAAATAATAATCATTATTAACCTGTGACCCCAAGGAGGTACAAAATATAAACAGCAATGAACTCTATTATCTTGGATGTTTCTCCTGTTGAGTCCGCTTTCGTCGGTGAAATATTGACGAAATTGTTCGTCAATATAATTGACACAAACTTTCCAACTGTCTTCACAATTTATTGCTTCTCCAAAACCAGGAGTATCAACCACAGTTAATCTAAAATAGTGCAGTTTAGTAAATTCCAAAAGGTATGACACTATTATCAGATTATTTATAAAATTGTGGTTTTTGATCTGATGTATCAATGTCGCATAATTATCAATTTTAAACAAAGACAATGACGAACAATTAATGGAAAATTAACGCATTAAATCATTGCATCATTGAACTTATAGGTACATGTCCGCCATAACATTAATAAAATATAAATTTCATAAAAAATTATGTATAATTTTACCTTACTTTCACACCTTTCTCTTCAATTTCCATTGTTTTCTTGTCAATTGTGGTTGTCTTTTGCAATTTTTCATTTACGTCTGGTACCACCCTGTTCTTGTAAAGATCTTCTAAAAACAAACTGTTGATTAAAGTGGACTTCCCCAATCCAGATTCTCCTACGACCATTAGGGTGAATTCGAAACCCTTCTTAACTGATTTTCTATGCACTTACAATAAATATTTAATTCTAAATGTACCATTCGTACTTATGCAGCTACAAATTTTGTAATTGGTATAAAAACGATAGTACAAAATCAGATTCTTATTTTCTTTGGTATAAATATGTAATTATTGTACCTAGAGTAATCACCACAATTGATAAACTAACTCGCTATAACTAAAATATTATCAACAGCTTCCATTAAAAAATAATAATAATAAATTAGGTACTCATAAAAAACACGAAAAAGTAAAAAAAAAACAAAAATAATAAAAATTAAGCCCATTTGATAGATATTAAATGTCAAAAAAAAAATTATTCAGTATAACTGTGGTGAGTACTGTTTTAATACTTTACCTCATCTACCAATAACACCACGTTCTCTACCCAACGAATACCATTAACACATTTTATTTCTCTAAACATCAATACTGTCGTGTTTCTTACCTTCTTGAGCTTGATTAGAAGCTTTAAGCTTTTCCTGCATTTGAGTTAACATGTCTTGCATTCTTCGAATCTATAAATAAATTATAATAATTATTCTTAATCTGTCTGTGTCCTTTATTATAAACCAGTTGCTATTATTATAAAGTAATAAAAATAAATCAGAACTGATTAAGGGCGTGAAATGATTTACTAAAATAAAACTTACACCGACGTTTCGCCTCTGATTTGAAACTTTTTCAAGGTGGGTTGAACCGCAAACAAACTAAATCCTTGCTTGTAAAAACAAATGTCTATTATGACTTTAAAAATGTAAAATTTTGTCGATACTGTTAAGCCATTTATGTAAATCGCCTATATACTTTGGTACTTCCCCAGACGATATTTTATTCGTGTACCTACTTACTTTAGATACATCTTTAGTGTAATAGTTTCATTATAAACTAATAAATTATTTTAAAAATTGTTTTAATGTAATATTGCGTTATTTTCGGCGCAGCCTTCGCATTTTAAAATATTGTATTCAACGTTTTATTAAAAAAAAAAAAGAAATTTCTCCAAGTGTGTTCAATATAGTGAATAACTTACCTCTTCCTCTTTTTGTAGCAGTAGTCTATCAGTCTCAGAAATTTCTTGATCACAGGCAGTCGAATCTCGTTTTAATTTTCTAGTAATTCGGAAAAATAAAACAATAACTGTACATAAGTCTAAAGGCATTGCTAATATGAGAATAAAAAAATACTCGAAAAAAAATTTTCCTATTACTATTTAAGGTAACTTATTTTACTTGAATGGATTTTCTTCTAAAAAATAGAAATGGCTTTAAAACATTATTTAAAGAGCGCTTCAAAATTGTTGTCAAATGAATATACCAATCGAGCCTTTCTAAAATTCTAATTGAGATCATTAATTATATACTCCATAATTGCCTAGATAATATCTAAAAACTTCGGTCAATATAGGAAGAAAAGTTCAGAGAATTTAATAACGAAAAATTTTAGAAACGTTTACCGTAATTAAATGTGTATAATTTTTAAGTAACATTAAATTTATTACACTTACCCCCTCTCCCTGAACGCGTGCTGAGAAATTTGTGAGATACACTGCGCCCTAAAATTTTCATAATGGACGTCTTCAGTTACATCCTTCAAGTCTTGCATATGAGTGGATATCAGCATTGTCCTCAACTTGAGAAAATCGCTATGTTTTGGATTTTCAACTTAAATTATATTTGTTAAAAATTTATTAGATAAATTAGGGAATATTTTACCGTCAACAACCCCCCAGGGGTACTGCCTACCCCTAATCTTCCTCCCGGCAACTTCTAGGATACTATTACTCCCCACCACTGCGAAGGGGATGCTTGCCTTCAATTCCCTGTCTTGTTGCTTGAATTCTTCATCTTCATCACTATCACACTCAGGAAACTCGTACATCTTTAAAGTTTTTCATAAAAAAAAAACTCAAAATTGATTTTGTTTTAAGATTTTTGCTCACCTGTATCCCATTCTCTTTGATATCGTTCAAAATATTTTTCTTAAGGGTTGCGACTTCCAATGACGTCAGGCAATCAGCCTTCGCAATAACAACAACTAAATTTACTTTGCGATGCAGCCTTTTCATCAGATCTAAATCCATTTGGCGTAAACTACAAAAAACAGCAAATAATCCCAAAAATTCCTTATATTATACAAATCCTAAAAAACTTCTGTGCTATCTGAGGAAAAACTTGGACATGGACATACTAAATAATAATCATTATTAACCTGTGACCCCAAGGAGGTACAAAATATAAACAGCAATGAACTCTATTATCTTGGATGTTTCTCCTGTTGAGTCCGCTTTCGTCGGTGAAATATTGACGAAATTGTTCGTCAATATAATTGACACAAACTTTCCAACTGTCTTCACAATTTATTGCTTCTCCAAAACCAGGAGTATCAACCACAGTTAATCTAAAATAGTGCAGTTTAGTAAATTCCAAAAGGTATGACACTATTATCAGATTATTTATAAAATTGTGGTTTTTGATCTGATGTATCAATGTCGCATAATTATCAATTTTAAACAAAGACAATGACGAACAATTAATGGAAAATTAACGCATTAAATCATTGCATCATTGAACTTATAGGTACATGTCCGCCATAACATTAATAAAATATAAATTTCATAAAAAATTATGTATAATTTTACCTTACTTTCACACCTTTCTCTTCAATTTCCATTGTTTTCTTGTCAATTGTGGTTGTCTTTTGCAATTTTTCATTTACGTCTGGTACCACCCTGTTCTTGTAAAGATCTTCTAAAAACAAACTGTTGATTAAAGTGGACTTCCCCAATCCAGATTCTCCTACGACCATTAGGGTGAATTCGAAACCCTTCTTAACTGATTTTCTATGCACTTGATCGGGAAGGGTTGCAAAACCAATGTAGTCTCGGTTTCCCTTTTCACCTGTTAAATAAATATGACACCTGATGAGCCAATCCAATTAATTCGGATAATTACATGAAAAGGGTAACTTGATTTTTGCTTCAAATATAAAACACAAAATACATAAGAAGTACAAAAGTACATTAAAACATTTAATAATTGCAAAACAAATATGAAACAGAATTTGTATATATTTTAATTTAAAAATACAATTTGGGCTAAAACTTACTGCAGTATGTTATGTTCATAATTGGTAGTTAATTAATTGGCACAAATTATCGCAAAATATTTAATTTTAATGATAAGAATTAGATTACATTCCATTTCGACACATGTTAACATATTATTCATATTTGGATACAGCGAACACATTTATAACGAACGATTGGCTTTAGTAAACCATTTTCAATGGGAAATTAGCAGATCCAATCGGTTATAATGAAATACATATATTCCTTTGTAATATCGAGTTAATCAGTCATGAATATGGCTTCAAATTTGTTACATTGTACGAATGTTGAACTTGCTATATATTTTAAGCGTTTTACAAATTGTAGAATTATAGAGAAATAAGAAGTAGTACATTACTAAAAGTCAGTTAATTCTATCATTAATTTATAAACAACGTGGTCAAAAGACATTGCATAATTCACCTGTACATATTGGAATATTAATACATTTATATAACTATATTTTAATTAGGATCACGTATTCTGACACACAGTATATACATACATACATATACACATATGAATATCACTAACTGTAACGGTTTGAAATTAAGTAACCAGGACAATTTATTAAGAAAATAGACACTTAAAAAGGACATAACTTCCGTTTTAAATTTTGGAAGCCCGTGACATAAAAAAGCATTCGGTACTTCGATAAATAAAATAAACAACAAATAGTGCTTTGTTTTATATAAATATCATTCCATTAATTATTGAATTAAGTATGTAGGGAACTGAAGTACTTTTGGTCTGGTAGAACTAAATTAGTGCATTAGTAAATTCTATTTGGAATTTGCCATGATTTTCTTGTAAAATCAATAAAAGTAGTAAAGCAATTCATAGTTTATTTCTATCTACCTATCTATCAGATTAAGCTTTTGGCGATTTCTTACAGGGTGTTGTGAAAACCTGTACAACTGAGTTTATTTTAACGTAACGCTAGGTCCATGTTCTTTGATTCATACTTTCAAAAGTCGATCATTTTGTTCAACGTAAATTGCTTCACATTTGTTACAATTTTATCGTATTTGTGTAACTGTATATATCTTAGTTTTATTGTTAATTAAAAGGAGTGCAGACAATTTTTGTAAATAGACATTAGATACGATTTTTTTTATGCGTTTTACTCATTTTTGAGTATATAGGACTAGATTATAGTTACTATTATTCGAAACAAAAAGGTTTATAATTATCAGTTTACTTGCTTTTTTGACTAACGTAAATTTAGCTGCACATTATGATTAAAAATTATCACTTTAACCATAATTCAAATGTTTTTGTGTTATATACCTAAATGCTTATTGCCTTATTTTATATCAAGTGTGTGATATTTTTAAATATAATTACCGTTTTATAGCAAGTGTCAATTATGCTTAAAATACCTACGTACTTCATCGTGGAGCACGCTTCCTGTGATTGATAGTTCTATCAAATTAATTTACCAATCAAACTATAAATAGCAATAGCAAGCAAACATTTTTAAATAATTCGACCTTAAACTGGTTAAAAACGGTAATCTTAAAGGTTATAAATTCAATTCCTTCGTCACCCTATACATATACATACAATATTAAAAATTCAATTCGTTTTCGCATTGGATTCATTAAGCACACGTGAAAATCTTAAATGATAATTTAAATTTCTTCTGATGAACATTCCTTAAATATCTCTGGACTCAATGCGATTCATGAATACTCTTGACAAATAGCTTATCATAATAACCATGCATGCACTTTATTGAACGAATTCCAAACATTTATTTAGCAACTTTTGAGTATTCAAGTTCCAAACAACTCATAGGGCTACAATTTTTAAAAGACAGATGATGAAGGAGTTTATGTACAATTGCCTCCATTTTGGAAATATTCGGTTCATAATAAGGCGTCCATGTTTAGAAATTAAAAAGAAGAACATTGAAAATTTTTGAAGTCGCCTGTCGTTATCTCAATAAAACCCAACATCTGAAAAGATTTAGAAACAACTGTGTCAAGGTGCAGATCAAAGGCAAAGTCTTTCTGGAATAGTACCCCTAAATCCCTAATAGGATCTACCCCATTTAATGCAACACCTTCAATCCCATAATTAAGTATGTGTATGTCTGTCGCACATACTTTATTGAAAGAATTCTAAACAATTCAACAACTTTTGAGTATTCATATTCCAAATAACTCACATGGTTACCATTTTTATCAAAGACAGACAACGAAAGAGTTCATGCACAACTGCCTCCATTTTGGAAATATTCATTTGATAGTGAAACATCCATATCCAAACAAGGTCTTTCTAGAATATCATCTCCAAATCCCTCATTTAATGTAACACCTTTAATTCCATAATCACACACTTTATTGAAGGAATTCCAAACAATTGGATAATTTTTAAAAGACAAACAACGAAGAAGTTTACGTACAACTGCCTCCATTTTGGAAATGTTCGGTTGATTGTACGACGTCCATGTTGGGGAATTAATTAGAAGAACAGGCATAACAACCGAGTTAAATAAGTTAACAGTTTGACAATTTTTAAAGTCGCTCAACTCAACATTTAGTTAGATTTAGAAACAAGTGCATCACTAAGGTACAGATCAAAGGTGAAGCCTCTCTGGAATATCACCCCCCAAATCCCTAATATGATCTACTCCATTTAACGTAGACCTTCCAATTCCATAACGGTAAACATTTTGTAAATAATGTTGTAACATTGTCTGGTCTTTAAAATTTATTTTTAAAGATAAGAAATAGGGGAGAGTCGTATTTGATCTAATCTGACCAAGAATGGAAAAAAGATCGTAACGATGCCCCTGGCCATTTTCTCATGTCGACGTGTCTCAAGTAGCAGTTCAACAACTTCACGTTATCTTCGATTTAATTTGAACGGTACCAACAAATATAAAACGAATGTTATAATTTCTGCACCAACGCACAATAAAAGCGAAACAAAGTTCCCACATACGTTTCGCAACATACGTACGCTACCAACAGGACGTGGTGGTTTAATGATATAATTCATTAAATTGTTTATTTGAAAGTATGATGCTCATCTAGAATTATTATTCAGACGACCTTATTATCTTATACATACAACAGGTACCTACGTTTCTCTTACAAGATAAGTAAAACGTACAAGCTTCTAAATAAAGAAATTACACACACATTATTCAGTTTACTTTATCTGGCTGTCGTTACGTTTGTTTGTTTATTTGTTTAATTGAAAAAGCGCAGCTACTGATGGGTAGGTGTATACCTACTAAACTACCACCACCTTCCCAAGCTAATATGTTACGAATCAGGGGCGGCTGATGTACATGTAGATGCTGGAGAGCTCTAGAATAGCATAAAAAATGGATATTTATGAATTTTTACAATCTGACTATTAAATGTATATGAATATATATTTTTTCTGTATCTATCTCTCATTAATTTTTAACTGTTGTTGTTTTTACAAAAAAAAACCCTTTTGCTGGCTCCTCTATACTGGAGGTAGACCAAGTGGATTCTCTGGATCTCTGGTCCTTTATATCGTATTATTGAACTGAGCCGCAAGAGACAGTTCTGTGCATTATTTCGGAAACCCGCATCAGTCCTTTCTACATCTATTTGCTAGCATAGAAATCCAAGAATTTAGAAGGGCCAGTGAGCTATATTCAATCCAGTTCATTAATGTGTTTTTCTAATATAGTTTTACATTTATTTCAAATATTTTAACTTTAATTTAACTAGCATTTTTCTCTAACTCGAGATTCAAGCGAGGGTTTTAAATTATAAATTTCATTAATTTGAATTTCTATTAATTTTGTTTGAAAAATCAGCTGCAGCGATAACCAATAGTTCACTCAATTTTATACTGTGGAAAACAGCAGAAAAATCGATTAGATTAGGACCATAAGCTAACGAAGGAAAAGACAACACGAACGAAGTAATTACTTATACTGTCTAAAAACAATAATATATGTAGAAGCGATGTTTTCGAAACAAAAATTAAAAAGTTTAACGACAAAACTTAACTCTAACATAGCAGGCTTTGCATTTAGGGAAGTTTAACTGTATGTACTATACAATAAACCGTTTTATTTCTTCATGTGCGTTTTTTTTTTTTAATAAAATAATTTACTAAAATACGAATACACGACTTAAACCCTGATCTTTCGTATGATTAATTTTTTTCTCCTAAGGTAGCATCCCAGATGTGTCAATTTTTAAGACACCAGAGCAGACATGTGAAAAATAATTAGGTAAATCGTAATTTCCAAAGTTTTTAACAAATTATGGAAAGTAAATTCTAATTTATTCTTGATGTTTATTGTCATTTTGGAAATAAATCATTTTTTTTTAATATTGAGCAAAATAAAGAAGAAAAAAAAATAGGCGGTCATGGTACAAAGTACGCATTTTCTTTACATTAGTCCCATTCCATAAAGAAGTAGGAATACAACGTGATACAATTTGCAGCCACTTAACAATTCCTAGTGATTTAGCAGCTGAGACTTGAACCGGAACAAAAACAAATGAAATCTTTGTGGCTAACTTCGTATAACAAACGTGATTACTTTTTAAAACATTATTTGCGGGTTCATTAAAAATTTTAATGTTCAGTGTAAGAAACTCAATATTTGTTTATATTCTTTGTACTTCTTTTATTAAAAATCCATTTCTCCGTTATAGAAAGAAATATATAAGAAAATATACTAGACCCAGTATACAGTGAACAAAGTAGCTTTTGTTAATGGAAATCACATGAAAATTATTGTTCAATGCTTTAATAGTCGATATTTAATCATTGCAGTTAAACCATTGCTATAAATACCCGATATACCTAGCATACATTTGGTGTTTCCCCGGTCGTATTACATGAAGAGATGTTTTTTCGTAAAAATAAAAAATAAAAGAACCTTTAGAAGTAAACAAAATTTCTGATTTCGTTGGTAAATAAAACAATATTTTATTACTGCTTGAAGTATTTGTTGCTATCGTTTATTAGAAAATAAAAAGAATTAGATTCTGACTGCGAGCATGATTTGGTACTGCTCATAATTTTTGATAGGTTCTGGGTTATCCATTACTCACAAAAAGATCAAAGTACGACTCTGATTTAAATATTTACAAGACCCTATGCCTCTAGTTGTTTAGACCAAAGCAAAAAGCGATCCATAATTCCTTTTTATCATATCGACAGCATAGTTTTAAGACTGTTCGTCAAGTCTCTTATTCGTATTACTTGTTCTATTTCAAATTTAATTGTATTCACACGCCACTTCTCGAACACCCTGTATAGAAAAACGTTAAACATTATCGAGAAAATGCAGGCAAATTTAAAATGTAACATAACACGTATACTGATAATAGCTAAGTAAATCCAAGTATACAGAGATTCGGTTGAGCGAACAAGGATGTTGCTAGGTAACCGTGTGACCACTTCGGCCGAAATCTTTCTTCTTACCTGACATCGTCTTACTATTGTTCTTATGGGCTACATAAACCGACTGTTTCCATCGACTTTCAGAAAAACGTTATCTTTCGTAAAGTTATTACGGAAAGTCGTTCATCACCGTGCTATAGCACCACAAACAACAACACCAGCACACTTCGATTCACGACTAAAAGTGACTGAAAACTGGTACCTACTATAATAGCGGCCCAGTAACTCTACTTCCACCGGGTTCCACTGCACCCATATCCGTATCGCCCCAACCTAATGAGTGATCTACCTCATTCACGCTGCTTTTGCTACTTAATCATACTATTATTAGTAAAAGGTCGCTGATAAGGCGCGCTGATAACAACAAATAAATAAACAATGGATAGAACGTATCGCGTTACTACAATTGTTTTCGGTGCGCCGCGCAGACTGGGCGTCGAAGTGAGTTCTAGAGACGCTCACAATAAAGTAGCGGCGCATTCGGGAAAAAAATACAAAAAAGATCTAAATGGAAATGTGAAAAACTAATTTTAAAGCAAAAAATTGTTGTCTTTAATGAAAAAGTCTTCTAACTTTTTTTGCAATTATTAAACATATGTAGATACCTAATCTTAAGGCACCATAAGATTTCACACTGCATAAAGTTATAAAACTATGATCATACTCACATATCAACTCCATGACACAGGTCCTTTTGGCGCCAAATGCTAAAAAAACGCGATCATATTCCTAAACAATCGACAAGTGTTTTAACATCACACAAAATGTCTGTTAAAAGTGTTAATTCAACTAATTTAAACGCAAACTAATTGTAGGGTCACTTATCAGAAAACTTTCAAATTGAAACGGATTTTATTTTATTTTAACGCCAATATCCAATATGTGTAAAATACGTAGAAAGTTTGTATTAAAACTTGAATACTCACTATTAGCAATACTCTTACACTTCGTCAATGATTTTATTAATAAAATAACAACGTACTTTATTTTGTTTGATTTACCAAACTGTAAAGATTATGAACAAATCTTTAAGGAAATATAAGAGAAATATATACAGCTATAAACAAATTCAAATAATATCATTTCCATATACTGAAAAACCGTAACCAAGACCAAAATCTGTACTGACTGAATAATATGTTTGTAAAAAAATCAATTTTCTTAATGTTATACCAAAGACCACCAAAATTATAATTGTTTTTTGTTTTTCTAATAAGACAGCAAATTGTAATTCGACCCGCCACTGAATTTAAAAGTGAGATAAATCAATATCGGGCTGGCCGGGGTGTTCAAAAGGGACACCCCCTGTGAATTTGCTTTGTTGCGAACAAAGTCGACGAATGTCACCCCTGAAACTCTAATAAAATATGCGTTTTTCTTTGTTTACAACTGTACGAAAGGGACATTATGTATGTCTGTCTATATTTTATTAAAATGTGGAAGTGTTTATAGTATCCATTTTGATACTGAAACGCTTATTTGGTATGCTCAAAAACGTCCAGGTGGTACAGGGCGAATTAATTTATAGCTACGTAAGACAATAAAAAACAATATAAAGCCAACGGAAAAATAGACGCTCTGTGGATATTTTATTTAAAAATCCATCAAAAAAGTTTTATCAATTTTTATTTTCTTGAACTCTGATTTGGTCGATCTAAAACGGTTTCTGCCATTGGCGCAGTTTGGAAGGCGGTCAAATTTGATCGTTGTCTTACCTCGTTATAACCGTATACATACATGCATATTATGTGTTATAAAACATTAAAAAATCCTCAACTTACAAATTTTACAACGGCTGGATGCGAAAATTAAAGATAAAATTAGGTATTATTACGTATTCAGATCACTGCTCCGTTCGGCCATTACCATTACATTAGAGATAGCGAAAGTTATATTTCAATGCTACAGAATACTCAACAAGTGAGCAAGTGTTTTAGTTTGCTCACAACCTGTAGTGGTAATACTGATTTATTTTAGTGTCTACCCTAACATTTATACATTATTAAACTGTAATCGGTTTGGCTTCAAAGAAATAATTTTACAACGGCTGGGTGCGAAAATTAAAGATAAACTTCCGTACTATTACGTATTCATGTTTTGCTCGGATGAGCAAAGATAGATCACTGCTCCGTTCGGCCATTACCATTACATTGGAGATAGCGAAAAGTGATCTAGAGCGTCGTCAATGCTACAGAATGCCTATAAACTGAGCAAGTGATTTAGTGTGCTCACGATCTGCAGTGGCTGTGCTGATTTATTAAGGCATATGAGCCTAACATAGTAACATTAACATACTGTAATCCGTTTGATTTCAAAAAAAAATGATTTCTAAAACAATATTATTATTATTCATCAAATATGCAGGTCATTTTTATACTATTTTGAATCAGTGAATTGTTTTGGAATAAGCTTTTATGTTTTCTTTTACTTTAAATTATCCTAAATCTAATTCTTTAAATAAGGTATTTTCTTTCTGATGAACACGACTTTCTTTTATTTTAAAAAGCCGTTTTGTCATTAACCGACAATACAATAGTTATCTTTTTCCGTATTTCTTGAATGATTATTACTGTATCAGTACAGTACAATACAAATACTTACTTGATAATAATACCCTGTGTGCTATAATTAAATTAATAGTATCTTCATTGCAATAGAATTACATAACGTAAAGAGTTAACGACCTTATGAGAATTATCTTTTGTTGTCATCTTTTCTTCCTGCTCTTTTATTATACGTAATATTTCACTCGTCACGTTTGTGTGTTTATGTAATTTTTATAGTTGAGAGTTTAATAAATAAATGTGTGCAATGAATATGTTTATTATATTAATGTAAGTTATCCCTTTATTTATATGTACAACTTAAGATTAGTAGAAAAGTATGTTCTAAAATAGACATATGATAAGATTAGGCATTTTATAAATCGCGAAGGATTTAAAACAACTGACCAAAACCACCTAATCTCGCATCTTCAAAATTTTTAATTCATCCTGTCTCGGAGGGGAAGAATGGGTTGGATTAAAAAATTTGAAGGTGATTTTGGTCAACTGCTTTAAGTTTAAAAGTACCCTTGAGAATCCCCGGCAACATGGGCGAAACGTTGACGTTTGTTTCCGAATAAATAAAAAACTTGTAAGTTCCCCTTTTGACTTTGATTTCACACCGAATTTAAAATTATTATATTTATATTCAAGTTATTAATGAACAAGTGTTTTCTTTGTTCGTTTTCTATTTAAAACAAAAAAAAATGTCGAAACATTTACCGAAAGTTTTACCAATATTTAATATATGATGTGAAGAAACTAATGCCCAAATGTTTTTTTTATACAATTTAGATGTTTTTCCATAATGGAATGTACCGAAATGTTTATAACGTTGCCCCACAAGACCTCCATTTGTTTAACAGAAGAATGCCGAAACGTTGGTAAATATATTTATCTAATTAAGAAAGTACAGTAAAATTTGCTTATAATAACTCTGTTTATAACAACAATCCCTTTATTATGTTGTATTTAATCGATCTCTTGTGACTTTCGCAAAAGCTTTTTATCGTAGAAACTATTAGTAATGCAATCAAAAACAAATAAGAATAAAATCTATTATTAATTTGAAATATTGAAACTGCTGACACAATAATTAGTAACTGACCTATAATTATGATGGAAAGGGACGAATTTCAAGTAGGGGCGTTAATAGGGATAGCAAGGAATGTAGTATACTAATTTCTTAATATATGTGTCAGTTTTTAGATGGTTTTGACCTAAATTAATTTCGATCAAATTCAATTTTCCTTAGATGTCAAGATACTATTTATAAGCAAATTACCGCATTTCACGTTTGTTTGACACAAAGGTTACAAACATATCTTTTGTAGGCTACAACATTTTTTCATCATTGAATTCTTCTAATAATCCATGTACAAATTTTTACGAATTCACTTGTGGTAACTGGAAAATAAATAATCAGGTGCCATTTTCCGATTCGGAGCCATTTTGGAACCAATGGATTCGCAACGAGTTCATTATGAGAGAACAAATCGATATGATAATAACAAAATATCAATCGAAAAACAGCAATTTCGTAAAGATAAATAAGTTATACAAATCTTGTTTGAACAGAGACGATAATGAGTCAAGTTATTTAAAAGAAGCAAGGATTTTAATAAACAAATTAGGTGGATGGAAAAAACTATCAAATGCTGCCACTACTGGAAAAAAACAACAGTATTCCTGGTTGCTAAAAGTTGCTGAAGTTACACGGTTATTTGGAGTACATCCTCTAATTAAAATGCATGTGGCTATCGACCTTCAGGACACGTCCAAATATATACTGAAAGTAGGTTTTAATTCGCCTGTAATTCCACATTTTATACTTTTCTTTTCCAAGGCCAGTCATCCAAGTTTCGCATTCATACAGAGCCGTGCTCCATACATATACCTTTAACAATCTTTTTCGAATTTCTAAATTAACCTTTTGGGAACATAGAAATGACCTCTTTTTGTTAAAGGCGACTCTACCCTGCGCTGTTCTTTGCTTTATAACTCTACTGCTCCTTCCATCTTGGATCTGACTTCTTAGATACGAAAATCAACCACTTCTTCTAATGTTTAGACTCCTACCTTTATATTCACTCTTTCCCTACTATTTCTTCCTTCGCACACTGTATATCAACCCTAATATTGTTATGTCTTCAATGATGTTTAACGTTTTTTATTTACTAGTTTGATCCTGGAGAACTATCACTTCCTCTATGGATTTTGGAAAATCCTCTGCGATATCTCGAACATATAAACGCTTATCACAATTGGATTTACAAAACAATGTCCTTAATCTTACCGAATGTAGAGGAGAAGTCTTTACAGATTCAAGCATTGTACTTGATCCAATTTGAAATCGAAATTGCCAGATTAAACAAAATAAAACAGAAATTTGTAAGACTGCCGTTAAAAAAAATGTATAAAAGAATGCCCACCAACGATTGGAATAAAATTGTTAAAATTTTATTTCGCAATACAAAGGCAGACATACATCCCACAACAGTTGTACAAATTGGAAAACTGGAGTATTTCGAGAAACTTGAAGACGCTCTGAAATATACTGAGTCACAAATAATTCGTAAGTAGTAAATTAAACGAAAAAAATCAGTCATGTACAAGTTCAATTCTTGGCTCGAAAGTTTCGTATCTTATCAAATACATTATTCAGTGTAAAAGTTTTGAGAACGTAAAACATCTTCAGTTCCTTGCAATAAAAATACTTTTGTATTTTCGCATATTTTTTATAACATCTATTTGAAATACTAAAAAAATATGTTTTTGTATTTACCTATCTATATAATTCTTGCATGAATATTTTAGAAAATGTTTACAACTATCAATAAATTTCAAGTTCCTACTTTAATGCATGATTTATGTAACAAACAAACAGTCATATAAGTGAGAGATATTAAAAGTCATTTAATTTTCTGTTTATGCAATCCCAAAAAGGAATGGGGACCAAAAATGGTAACTTCTAACTTCAAAAAGAATTCAAGAAATTTTTATAAATGATAATCATACCGGAAACATTTTTTGGGTCTATTCACGACAATACGTTTCATGTGTTGTAGATAACTACATAATATGGACTGTTCTAAGAGACTTAGCTAGAGACATAACAAAGGAAACAAGGCATTTGAATTTCCTTATCAACAGTAGCATTTTCAAAACAAAAGTTGATATTTCAACAACTAGGGAATGCGTTGACCTAGTGAGTTCCCATTTTGATTCAATTTTGTTACCTGTTTACGTCACCGAATACTCACTTCAAAAAGACATTGAAGACGTTAAAAATATATCGGAGCAAATAAGAAAGCAGTTTATAAAAAACTTGGAACAAAATTCGTGGTTACACTTTTCCACGAAACTTGAAGCTGTCGAGAAACTTAAAAACATGAAATTTTCATTTGGATACTATCCGGAAGGGCTCAATGACTCGACTTTAGAAAGGTACTACGGGGAGGTAAATTATTTGTTATTCTATTTGTTTATATATTTGTTACAAACCCTTTAATCATTAAAATAATTCGAAATGATCTGTATTCTGTCGAAACTGCCAGACGCGGATCGCGATTTCGATCTTTTTGGATCTCATCCGCGCGGCGCAGGCAGCCCGACAGAACACAGACCAACTTTTCCCTGCTGTCTTAACAGTGCGTTTTAGAAAATACTACAAATGGCGCAGTAAACGTCATCTGTAGCACGATGCTACATTTTAGGATTTACGTATGCTCCATCCTAATCCTCCAATCCTAAAATGTAGCATCGTGCTACAGATGGCGTTTACTGCGCCATTTGTAGTATTTTCTAAAACGCACTGTTAAGACAGCAGGTAAAAGTTG